TTCGGACAACTTTTCTACCTTGTTGAGATTATGACCAAGATTTAAAATAACGTAAGACTTATTGAGGCGGTTTCCCTAAATGTGAGGCGAGGCGAAAGCCTTATGGCACTTAAGGCGTGAGTCTCAATTTGTTTGAGAAAAACTTTTTTTTCAGACAATGAAAAACAATGAAAACAACGTTGAAGTAAAATCATTCTAACTTTATCACCACCAAAAGCATAACCTTAACAGAAAATAGTAACTATAAAAGTTTATGACTCCATAGTGTTCATACAATTCCAACATCATAAAAAAAAACTTAGAAGTTCCAAACTTCCACAGATTCAAAATAAATATGGTCTTATCTCATAATTCATAACGCATCATTCATTTTCATTGTCACTAGCACTAGTGCTACTAATAGAATTCTCGAGGGGATCATCCATAAAATTCAATTTACATCTTTTTCTTCACTTTCCTCCTCGGCAGTGGAAATTCCTACTCATCAACACCAATTGGAATTTTTTCTTTACCTAAAGGAAATATATATATTTCAGTTAAAGTACAAATAAAAAACTTTGTAAAACTAATATTTTTAACTTTTTTTTTTTTCCTTTTCTTTGTACGTTGAGATCCTTTACCTTTTTTGACTTTAAGAGGGTCATCAAGAGCTAAATTTGCATCAAGATCTTCATAAGCTTCCACTTCATGATCTTGTAGCTCTGACATCCATTCATCACTAGAGTCTATATCATCCAAAAAAAGGTGATGTGTTTTAGTTATAAATTGAACATAATGTAGACTAAATCATTGAGTTTCGCTTGCTTCAAGCGATAACTTCTTTTTGTATGCATCTATTCATTAAAATTTTATAGCTCAGTAACATGAAAATCAAAAACATATAAAAACTAAACTACTTTATACTATAACTTATTTGAAGGACTTCCCATCCAAGTCAAGCTCAAGATTTTAATGGCAAATTTTGCAAGATCAGACGTTTGATCTCCAAAAGCTCTCTACCAATCCGCTGGAAATCCATTTACTTAAATGTTATTTAAGTAAATGGAAAAAAATTAAAAAAAAAAATTAATTAATTGTTGTGGATGTGACCCCATCTCGGGTTTATCCTCTGACTTATCAAAAAAATAAAATAAAAAATATTATCACTGACATACTAAAAAATAGTGAAAACACACACCTGGACTTCTCTTCTTCCTTGTGCTAACTGTATTTCTTCATCCACATAAATCTTGTACATTTTGGAAAAAACTGCAAATCCATTTTCTCCCTTACTTCTAAATCAACGATCAATTTATCCATGCGAGAATAAAGTCCGAATTTAATCTTAAGATGAGTAGAGAATATAGGTTTATATTAGAAATGAGGGTTTAGAAAATATGCAGCAGCATGGAAATGCGTGTAAAGCTGACAATCCAACCAGCTATCCACAATATCCCAAACAACCTGATACTTTGCAATATTATTATTTAGATATTGAGAAATTTTTTCTTTTGCCTTACCCATGGCTTTGTAAATGAATTCCATTGGTGGATACTTCTCGGAATCCACAATTTAAAGAACTATAACCAAAGACTATTTTGTGTTGAGCACATAAGCAACACTAGGCGAAAAAGACTTTTTAGAATAATCTTTTGCATATTTTTTGCCAATGAAAGAGATGCATAAGCACTGGTTTTCCACTTTCTTGAAGTAAAAAATGATTCAAGTCCATTTCTTGCTGAAAACAAGCTTTTCAAGGTAAGAAATGCAGTAGTAAATCAAGTTTCATCAACTCTCCACTTGTAAATTTTCTTGCCATTCTGAAGACCCATGCATAGCCGTGAATAAAATTTATTGTTTTCTTGGCCTTGGTAAACACAGAAACATGGAGGGGTAACTTAAGAATATCCTTTAACAATAAGTCAATGCAGTGTGCTGCTTAAGGTGTCTAATACAATTTTTTTCTCTTTTCATCAAGATTCACCCATCTGCTTTAAAAGCCAAGGTATTGTTATCACTCGAATAACATTCTTTTCTCCAACTTCCTCAACAACTTTATCAAGCAATTTAAAAAACAACTTTGCATCTTTCGTCTAATCCTATGCATCAATGTACTTCAACCGCCCCTTTGTGTCAGTTTAATCATCAGACATAACACAACAACCGGTCTCAATCCACGAAGTTTTCGCTTTATCAACAATTAAAGCAATAGTATTTTTCTCTGCTTTGTTTGCAACTCATTCAAAGGTGGGGGTTCAAATCCCTTTTAAAATCCATATACTTCATTCATTATGGTCCAATATGAAGGGCTCGTAGCTACATTAAACGGTATTAAATTCTCATAGAAGAAACAACTAATAGACCTGCAAATCCGTCTAGTTTAGTTTTTCTTCCAATTCTCATTAAAGGTAACTTGATGCATTTGATAACATGTGAAACATTCCATTTCATTCAGCACTCCTGCTACTAATATTTGTTTGTTGTTTAAAGAAATCCCATGAACATGTTTGTTGATCTTGACACCACTTGAGCTTGCTCGTGCTTTTTGTAATTGTGAATCGCTTTCAGTAGCAAATGGCTCTTGCATTCTCACTCAACAAACCTCCTCTATTTCTTTGAATGTCCTTCTTTTACCCTCGGTCTTTTATAACATAAAAGGCTTAGTTTCTTTTTGAACCTCAATGAGAACTCGTGGACAACCTACAACATTCTTACTTGTTTTTGCAAGTTGCTTCTTTTGCCTTTTAATTCCACCAGTGATTCTCTTTTAACAAAAATTACAATAAACATAAATATAAGTTTTGCCTTCCTGCAACGTGATTGGGGGATGTTCAACACAATACTTCCAACTAGGATCAGTCCTTCTACTTATTTTTGATGCTTTGCCATATCTTTAAAGTTGCAAATTTGCAAGTTTGCAAAGATGCAAATTTTCAAAGTTGCAGTAGTGAAGAAATAAAAATGAACAATAATAGTGAGCTTGATTATACAATTCCATGTAATGAATCTAATGATTAGTTAACACGATTATATGGACATATAAATATAAAATTAAAATTGATTATAAAATTTCAGAATGTATAAGTTAGATATATATTTATAAATTTGACTAAATCCACCAGTATCATTTTAATGCATTTATTTTCTTAGTAAAACATAAAAAAGCAGAACTCTGCTAAGTTCTCGATAACAAAAATATATCGGATTAAACTGTATTTTGTTTATAACATTATATTAAAATCTTTTTCAAACTTTCTTTTTAAATTTTTCAATTTTTAAAATTCGTTTCCATTTCGTAATGACCAACTTTCAACACATTCCCAGAACTAAAAAATAAAATCAAAAGATTTGAAGCAAGCTGGAATTTTTATAAATATTGTCGGAGAAGGACCAACAGTCAAGTGCCGGAGTGGAACTCGCGCCGGAGCGGTTTATTAGCGTTATTATGCGCCGCACAGTGGGTCAGATCTCAAAAAAGCTGGTCAAAAAGGAAAAAAAAAAAATTTCGACACGGTATTTTTGGACTATCAGGTTGGCTTCAGTGATGTTGGTACTACTTAATTCCGGCTCTCCAGAAGATCAGCTGTTCATATTGTGCGCTATATTGCAGATCGAACGCGGCAGTCCTTTGTCTGTCGTACTTGCATACGTTAAAGCTAATAAATCGTCTTTTTTTTCAAAAATAAATATTTTTTTTGCGTGCAGGTGAAATATTTTCAATATGGAATTCGTTTCACAAGGTATGTACTAATTAAAAAAAATATA